CGGGAAAACGCCGGGGGAGGGGGTCCGGGGCCGCAGCCCCGCCGCACGCTCCCTACGCTGCAGGCTTTTGGCTAAAGAAATGCATGAATGCAGCCAAAATAGCACAGAGTGCTTGGCTGGAGAAGGCCGCAGGGGGGGCGAAATGAACCTAAAAAAAAAAAGAAAAAATTAAAAAAAATAAAAAAATCAATTTTTTGGGCTGCCAGCTCCCCAGGGGAGTCAGGAAATGCAAGAGGCTGGAAGGAAAGGGGCTCTGCCAAAAGCAGGCTGCCAGCTCCCCGCTTTTGTGTTCAGCTGCAGGCACGGGGGGGCTGGGGGGAGGCGGAGGCAACATCACCAAAACCCCTGATCCTGCTCCTTCCTCCTCCCCCAAGGACTGGGCCCGGCCTTACGGGGCAGGAGTACATCGAGCTCTGTGGCGTAAAAAAGAAAACGCTCAAGAGAGCTGAGGAAACAGCCACAGCAGAGCAAGGAGGGTAAGGAGAGAGGGGAACAGCCCCCAAATGATCTGAAAAAAGGAAGAAAAATCCCTGCGGTTTCCTTCTTTTCAATAATTCCCAAGCTCTTTTGTTCCACGCTGTCCTACAGTCCCAAACCATCTCCTTTTGCTGGGGTACAGAAAACAGCTGGAGAGATGTTAAAAGGGAGCAGGAGGAGGCAGCCAAGGAGAGTTGCCAGTTCAGGGCTGCAGAAATACACGGGAGCAGCATTCCCACAGGAAATAACAAGAAAACTGGAAGAGGAGGACAAGACCCGGCTGCAGGTTGTGCCTCACAGCAGCCACAGCCCTGAGGGAGCAGAGCCCTGGCCCCGCACAAGGCTCTGCCATCAGCAGCGCTGGGAACTGGCACTGCAGCCCACGGCACACTCGAGCCAGCCCCAGGCACACGGGCAAGAGGGATAACAAAGAAAGTGTCCAAATATTTTATTCTTCACAAGTTACATTAACCACATATTACTTTACGGAGCATTTACAAATCATTTTTTCTTCGATATTAATCTTCAGATACACCTGCTCGCTCACACCACCAGGTCTCCTGCCTGGGCACGCTCCAGCTCATGCCTCCCCACCTTCAGCCCAGACGCTTTTTGCCCAGCAGCAGGGCCACGAACACGCCTCCCCCACCACAACCAAAGAACTACTGTTAAAAACAATCCCCAGGTCGCTATAAAAGTTTCTGGCCTCAACTAGTGACTGCTAGGGGAACTGGCCAGAGCTTTCTGCTCACCCAGGGAAGGACATGGGTAACTAGAGGGGTGGAAAGCTGTGGGTTGCTCGAGTTGGCTACAGGAGCTTTCTCCCCTCATCCCAGACACAAGACACCGAGGCATAACCACTCCTCACCGATCCCCCACCTTGAACCAGCAGCCGTTCAGATTTCTCACTATCCAAGCAGCAGGGCTTTATTCCTCCTGCTCGGGCACCCTCCATTCCTACCATTAGCACAGTCAACCAGGTTGATTACTTACATGCATAAAAGACAGATTAAAAAAAGGAGAAGAACCCCCCCCCAACCCTTTTAAACACTAAAACCGCCGCATCTTTCTCACTGCCCACCTGCATAGCTCACAGATGGATCACTGACAACATAGCCATAATTACTGAACACTTAGACAAATTGTCAGGGCTGGGTAAGAACCCCAAGCAGCATACCTGGAGACACTCACTCAAGGCGCAGCCGCATGTGGGCACGTTCCTCCTGGCCAGTCCCAGCCTCCCCGACACACAAACCTCAGAGAGGCGCCTGCCCAATTCCTACATATTAACAATGCTGGCAATGTTGCTACAGACCTGGATGAGAAATGCAGTGAATCTAATGGACAGAAACCCTGTTTCTGGAGGCGAGAGGATCCCACGATCGCCAGTGTTCGAACGCTACCATCTTGTAACTGACGGGAAGATGAAACGGGGCAGGACAGGGGTTAGGTGGGACTTGAACACTTCTTTGAAGTGGCACGTGGGCAGGGAAGTGAAGACATCCTGTAGTGAAGAGTGCATCGCTCTTCAAAAACGGGTTAAAAAATTCCCATGTAGCAAATAACATAGAAATGTAACAGTGTAGTTAAATTTTCCAAGTTTCTTTACAAAGACTGTTGATGCTGGTTTGTGTTCAGCTTGCTGGGTCTTCCAGAAGACAAAAAACAGACTAGTGGAAAGGCTGAGGGGGAGGAGCAGGGAGGAAGATT